TTTATTGTTCTTGGGGTTTTTTCTCCCATGCTTTGATCTTAAAGTTTTAAACATTTTAGTAACCACTAGGTGTTTATAGCAGTGTCAATTAAATTACTCGGTAACATATCGGGAGACCTCTCATTCGAAGTATCATCGAAATAACAGAACTTTTTGGTTAACATCACAGGTTAAAATAGCGATCAAATATTCTTCGCAGTAGGTTGACCTGAAAATGAACTCGAATGCCTCTGTTTATTAATAATAGGGATCCAAACTGATGTAATACTTTTTAAATTTAATTTGGTCACTAGTGGGCGGTAGGTTTCCTACCTCATAGAGTCAGGAGTAACGTAGTGGCGATCGCGTATGCCCAGTATGTCACGTAATAAAATAACTTAAAAAAAAAAAAATCAGCATTTAATATAATCAGGGGTATCTCAGCACAGATTTCTGTAATAAATTCATGTCAGTAGAACTGTGTTTGTAATTAGGAGAGCGCCCTATCCTGTAGGGTGCAAGAACTCCTACTTCATCCCGCCCGCCCTTACCCTTGACTGCATTGTCCGCACGCTCAGCCCTCCTTCTTCTTCCACCGCCCCTCGGCTGTCTTTCATGCCGCATTCCTTCCGTCTCCCACCCCTCTCTCCTTTTAGCAATCTAGATTACGTACTTTATGAAGGCCGTACTTCACGCCTGAAATGGTGCTCGCGCATGCGCGCAATATCTCCCAAGAATAAATATATCTTGCCAAAATTAAGAATTTAAAATGAAGAGGGGCTATCCCAGTTAGATTTCTATGATAAAATTCGATCAGTAGACCTCACCTCACAAATAGGAAGCAGACCTTGCATGTCAGGTCTTCACTGCATATACCAGTCAGTACATAATCTGGCTACGTTACTGTTTTAGCGCATGTAAAATATATCACCAGAGCAGTTATATTTTTTGTTGAAAATGCATTTAATATGGTCAGGGGGTATCTCAGCACAGATTTCTGTAATAAATTCATATCAGTAGACCTGTGTTTGTAATTAGGAGAGCGCCCTAGCCTGTAGGGTGCAAAAATTCCCACTTCATCCCCCGCCCGCCCTTCCCCTTGACTGCATTGTCGCACGCTCAGCCTC